TGAGGAGCAGGGACAGGGCAGAGTGGCTCCTGTCCCCCCTGGCTGGGCCCTGAGCAATATCCCACTGAGCCTGACCCACGGCAAGGAGGGAGCCTCCTGTCTCTGCTGCCCAAACTATGCAGGAAAAGGGCAAAACAATCCCCCAGCATCTTCTGGGGGTCCCGAGCCCCCCGACCCACACTGTGTGGACACGAGGTGTCAGCACCTGCCCTGGGAGATGCCAGGGTGGGATTGCTCCTGGTGCTGCACGTCCCCTGCCGAGGAGGAGGAGGAGGAGAGCTCGGAGGGGACGCGTGTCTGTGTCTGTCTGTCTGTGCGTAGCAACCCTGTCTGAGGGGAGGAGAACAACTCTGTGTGGCTTCCCTGCCAGTTGTAGTCCGTGGTGTCTCACCCAAGATGTTCTTGTCTGAATTCCCAGCAGAGGAGCATCCCCAAGCCGGGGGGCTCCGGGCTCTGGGGTTTTTCCCAGCAGGGCCAGGCAGGAGCCCCTGCCCTGGTTTGGGGGCAGAGGCTCCCTTGGCCTCCCTGCTGGGCACACCTGGTCCAGATCCATGTCCAAGCGTTGTCACTTTGATTTCTCTGTAATTTATCCGACTTTATTTATGTGGAACTCTGTTTCTCTGAATTTTTTGCACTACATGGGACTGGGGAGGGGATACAAGCAATAGAAGCCAACGTGTACAATAAAGACATTTTCTTGGATATCGGATCCTGTCTCGTGCATCCTTCACTGTCCCTTCCCTTCCCTGGCTGGCTCCTGGGGCTGCTCCCAGCCAGGACAGGGATCCCAGGCAGAGGGTGCACTGCTCTGCATCTGCCTGAGCAGCCACGGGAGGTTCAGGTTGTGTCAGGGGAGGGTTTGGGATGGAGATCAGGGAAAGGTTCTTCCCCCAGAGGAAGAACTGCCCAGGCTTCTCAGGGAAGAGGTCCCAGAGCTCCAGAAGCGTTTGCACTATGCTCTCAGGGTGGGGTTGTTGGGGTGTCTGGGCAGGGCCAGACTGCTGTCCCAGCAGGGGAATGCTGAGGCCATTTCAGAGTTTCTGCCCCATGATGGGAATGCTGAGGCCATTTCAGAGCTTTTCCCCCATGATGGGAATGCTGAGGGCATTTCAGAGCTTTTCCCCCATGCTGGGAATGCTGAGGCCATTTCAGAGCTTTTCCCCCAGGATGGGAATGTTGAGGCCATTTCAGAGCTGCTTCCCCCAGGATTGGAATGCTGAGGTCATTTCAGAGTTTCTGCCCCATGATGGGAATGCTGAGGCCATTTCAGAGCTTTTCCCCCATGATGGGAATGCTGAGGCCATTTCAGAGTTTCTGCCCCATGATGGGAATGCTGAGGCCATTTCAGAGTTTCTGCCCCATGATGGGAATGCTGAGGCCATTTCAGAGTTTCTGCCCCATGATGGGAATGCTGAGGGCATTTCAGAGCTTTTCCCCCATGCTGGGAATGCTGAGGCCATTTCAGAGCTTTTCCCCCAGGATGGGAATGTTGAGGCCATTTCAGAGCTGCTTCCCCCAGGAAGGGAATGTTGAGGCCATCTCAGAGCTTTTCCCCCATGATGGGAATGCTGAGGCCATCTCAGGGCCTGCAGGAGCTGCCTGGCACCAGCCCTGAGGCCTGGGGGGAGCCGGAATGCCTGGCCCAGCTGCAGCCCCTCGTGTCCCCATCCTGCTGCTCCTGCTTTGGCTCCTATAAATAACTGAAAGCTCTAAAAGCCTTCCTGGAGTGCAAGGGAGCTGCTGCCCAACCATTCAGGCTCTCCTGGAAGCAGAACCAGGGGCTCTGGGAGAGCTTTGTGCCCTCACGCTGGTGACAGGCCTGTCCTCAGCCATGGTGTAATGCCTTAAGTTTAGCTTTCACATTTTCCACACTCTGTACTGCATTGGGATATAACTCTGAGCTTCATATAAAGTGTCAGCAGTTCTCCTCACAGCTCAGTCACACAAAACAATCCTTTCCAGCCCCAGAACCAAGGACACCGCTGCAGCTTCAGGCCCAAAAAGTGTAAAACAACAGGGAGTGGAGGAGAGCAACCTGGGAGGATGGGACTGTGTAACCTGGAGCTGGAATTGGACAGTGAACCCTAACATGGAAATGGACCAAAACTTATAAAAGTGTGAAAACTCATGACTTGGATCCACCTTGGGTGTAGACCTGGCCAGGCTCTTGTACTACCCAAGTTGTATCCTTTTTAAGGCCTTTTAATAAATCCCCACTTTATTCCTTTAACTCTGTCCAGCCTTTAACTTCCTTTATTTATTTTAAAACCCCCTTTATTCCTTCAACTCTGTCTAGCCTTTAACTTCCTTTATTTATTTTAAAACCCACTTTATTCCTTTAACTCTGTCCAGCCTCTGTTCCAGGTCAGCCTCTCAAGGCACCAGTGCCACCTGGCCCTGCCAGCCCTGCTGGTGTCACTGCTGTCCCAGTGAGCAGACAGGACCTGTGACAGCAGCAGGACATGCAGCAGCAGCAGCAGCAGCACTTGTGCCCCTGCTCTGAGCTGGGAGGTTTTATTTAGAACCAAGTGGAGGAACAGCACGTTTGTGGTCACGGCCTGACCGTGTTAGGCACGGATGCGAGGAGGAATCACACTTTTCTGCAGAACACAGCTGGGGCTGTTTGCTGCAGGGTCTGACACCAGGGCCAGGAGGTGCTGGGCTGTTGCTGTGCTGTTTCCCAGCTGTGCAGAGAGCAGAGAGCAGCCCCTGCCATGAAAATCCTGGAATTTGTGGTAGGGGCCCTCTGGAGGGGTGTTGTGCTGGGCCAGGAAGGGTTAATGGATTCTGGGCACCAAGGGGAGGGGGAAAAGGAGCTGCTTTTAAAGGTCAAAAATGGGGAGAAATTTTATGGCACATCCATTCTCAGCTGCTGTCTCCTGGCAAGTGTGGCCTGACCGTGCAATCTCTTTTTTGGGGAATATTTTGTTACTGCAAGGGTGAAACCACCACAAATGGGAACAGTCCAACACCCCCTGTGCGTCTATCAACCAACCCCAGCTGGATTCCAACAGATTCTCCAGGAAAACCTCCTAAAATAACCTGTAGATTTGTCACACCACAACCTTTTTGGTGTTACTTACACCACTGTTATTTATATTCACTAAATCTGATTTTTTTCCGAACATGCCGTCAATTCAATTAGTTTTGACAAGATCTGATTTCCACAGCCCCGTGTTGATTTGTATTAATTATATTCTCCTCCTGTAACTCTCAAAGTTAATCCAACTCCCTCACAGCTGTTACATCATTTTCCCAGGAATTACTGTCAACTGGCAACCCTATAATTACTGGGGTGGTTTTTTACCCATGGAAACACTGATATCCCTGTTAAATTATGCAATTTCTTTGCAAATTCCATGGTCCTGCAAGACTGAATTGCAACAGTGACTCAAGCCCTTTGTGTTCAGCTCTTTCAAACTTTCTAACGTGAATTCTATTTTTTTTTGATCCAGAGCATTCATTTTGTGTTTACCTCTTAGCAGTCACCTGAAAATAAAAAGGGTTTCTTGTTTCCTGTGGCTGTAACTCCTGGGGGTTTTCCAGCACAGAAACATTGAGTCTGCATTTACCTTTTGTCATTAACTTCTCATTTTTATTGTTTATATTTCCATGCAGCGAGGCACTCACAGCACAGTCAGAAATCTTCAGTTTGCTTCCTTTTAAAGCATTTCTTCCAAAAATATTCTTTTTTTTGCTGCTCATGCACATCTCCTTTTGCTCTTTGCTCCCTTGATCCATTTCCTACCATTCCTAAATTTTGATTAGTGTCCCGTTTGATTTTTTTTTCCCCATTTATTTTTATATCTTTAACCCTGCTGGGAAGGGGGAACCCTTTGGAACCCTTTAACCCTGAGGATTTTTGTTAATGCTTAAACAACAACCACCAACTTTATCTGACTGCACCCTTATCTCCGCCAGTGCGGCGGGCCCAATTCCTTTTGGGAAAACACCCTGGGATGGGATTATTGGCCCACTTTTTTTGGAGAATGCTCTGGGATGGAATTATCAGCCCAATTTCTTTTTGGGAAAACACTCCGGGATGGGTTAATCGGCCAAATTTCTTTTGGGAGAACGCTCCAGGATAGGATTATCGGCCCAATTCCTTTTGGGAAAAAGTACCAGGATAGGTTTCTGGGCTGAATTCCTTTTGAGAGAACTCTCCAGGATGGTTTTATTGGCCAAATTCCATTTGGGAGAACGCTTGGGATGGGTTTCTGGGCGGAATTCCTTCAGGAGAACGCTCGGGATGGGTTTTCTGGGCAGAATTCCTTTGGGAGAACGCTTGGGATGGGTTTCTGGGCAGAATTCCTTTGGGAGAACGCTTGGGATGGGTTTCTGGGCGGAATTCCTTCGGGAGAACGCTCGGGATGGGTTTCTGGGCGGAATTCCATTCGGGAGAACGCTCGGGATGGGTTTCTGGGCAGAATTCCTTTGGGAGAACGCTCGGGATGGGTTTCTGGGCAGAATTCTTTCGGGAGAATGCTCGGGATGGGTTTCTGGGCAGAACTCCTTTGGGAGAACGCTCGGGATGGGTTTCTGGGCAGAATTCTTTCGGGAGAATGCTCGGGATGGGTTTCTGGGCAGAACTCCTTTGGGAGAACGCTCGGGATGGGTTTCTGGGCAGAATTCCTTCGGGAGAACGCTCGGGATGGGTTTCTGGGCAGAATTCCTTCGGGAGAACGCTCGGGATGGGTTTCTGGGCAGAACTCCTTTGGGAGAACGCTCGGGATGGGTTTCTGGGCAGAATTCTTTCGGGAGAATGCTCGGGATGGGTTTCTGGGCAGAATTCCTTCGGGAGAACGCTCGGGATGGGTTTCTGGGCAGAATTCCTTCGGGAGAACGCTCGGGATGGGTTTCCCGGCGGCGCAGCCCGGTGCCGGCGGTGGCTCGGGCGGATTCCCAGGAACAGGTACCTGGCCCGCCCCTCCCAGCCCGCGGGGCGGGAGCGAGGGGCAGGATCGGCTCCGGGCTCTGCCCACACCCACTCGAGTCCCGGCGGGCGGCAGCGATCCGGCAGCGATCCCGCAGCGGTCCCGGCATGGGGAACATCGCCTGCGTCCCGCAGGCTCCCGGCGGCTTCAGGAGCTCCTTCCGAAGGAAACCCTCGCTGAAGAAGGAGTGAGTGACCCCGCCGGCTCCGGGGGGTGGGAGCGGGGCTGGATCTCCTGCGGGATCTCTCCCGGCAGGGGATTTCCTATTCCCGGTGCTTTCGGGGACTGTCGGAGCCCGGGAGCAGCTCGCCCGGAGTGCCTGGGATGGAATTCCCAGCGGGCAGGGAACGGGAGAAGCGCTGCTGAGTTAATTTTTGTTTGGGTAATTAAGTTTCCCCCGGCGGGACAGGGTGTAGAACACCTGATATTTTCTGTTTTCACTTGTGAGTGCTCTTATTTACAGTTGTGAGAAAACAACATTCCCACTCCTCGGGCTTTAGGGAGAAAGCCCCAAATCCCAGCACCCCCCTGTAGGATTTGTATTTGTAAACCCAAAGGAGCAGAAAACCTCCATGAAATCCTTTGGGATTTGAGACCCAAAGGAGCAGAAAACCTCAGTGAAATCCTTTGGGATTTGAGACCCAAAGGAGCAGAAAACCTCAGTGAAATCCTTTGGGATTTGGGTGCTGGGCTGGCCAGGGCAGTGCTCAGGTACCACGGCCGTGGGTGGCTGTCCCAAAATAGGGACAGGGAATGCACTGCAGCTTCCCAGCTTTCCCACTGCTCCCATCAGCACGGTCAGAGCTGGGAAAGAGCTCTGCAGGGAACCAGGTGATTCCTCGTGGACCTGTCTGTGTTGGGTTCAGGGTCAGGGCTGTGCCAAAAAGCCCCTAAACTCTGCCAGGCTGAGGGGTTTCTGATGGAAAGGAGACCCTGAACTGTCCCCTTGGTGTCCTGGGTTGCCAGAAATTGGGGGCAAACCTGTAGGAGCCTGAAGAGTTCCTGTGGGGTTAAAGAGAGGGGATCCTTCAGGAAATTTGGGGTAAAAAAGAAGGGATCCTTCAGGGAGTTTGGGGTAAAAAAGAAGGGATCCTTCAGGGAGTTTGGGGGAAAAGAGAGGGGATCCCTTGGGGAATGTGGGCTAAAAGAGAGGGGATCCCTTGGGGAATTTGGGGTAAAAAAGAAGGGATCCTTCAGGGAGTTTGGGGAAAAAGAGAGGGGATCCCTTGGGGAATTTGGGGTAAAAAAGAAGGGATCCTTCAGGAAATTTGGGGTAAAAAAGAAGGGATCCTTCAGGGAGTTTGGGGAAAAAGAGAGGGGATCTCTTGGGGTCTCTGGGCTCTGGGGGTCTCACACCAGGGCCTGTGGTGGAGCAGCCAAGCCGCAGAGCTCCTCCTGTCCCACTGACTCCCAGCTTCCCACGCTCGTGGGGGTTATCCTGGTTTTCTGCTGCAATCCGAGGAAGTCCCAGCACTTCCCAGCAGCACCAGTGGCTGGTGGGACTGGTGTGCACACAGGGAGAAACTGGGAGTGGGAGGGAAGGGAGGGGGAAGCCACCAAGGCAGAAATAAACCCTCTCTGCAAATATCTGCCACGAGGATCCATCCCCACTCCAGGGGCTCTGCAGGAGCTGAGCTTGGTCTTTGTGTCCTGCATGGAACATCCAGGCCCTGTGCTGATCTGGGGGCACAGATGAGCCAAGCTGATCATTTGGCAGAGCAAAGAGCTGTGAAAAAGCAGAGAAACCCCAACAAATGCAGCAAAATCCTGTTCCAGTTCTCTGAGGCTTTGTCAGCCCTGGCTGGGCTGGGATGACTCGAAAGCCCGTGACAAATTGCTTGCTTGGTGTCCTGGCTTCCTTATTTCTGGGCAGGATTCACCATGCCTCAGCCTGGATCTGTGTTTCCATGTGTGTTTTAGTTTTTTGGGTTTTTTTTCCTCTGTAGACAAAATGGCAAGAAAAAGCTGCCCAGCTTCTTTGGGATAGATGGAGGCCAGGAGAGAGACACGACCACGGACAAAATCCTGCAGTACATTCCAGCCAAGGCAAGTTCCAGCACCTCCAACCCCCTGCTGCTGCTCCAGGGGTTTATTCCCACCCACCCCAAGCCCAGCGTTTGGGAAGGACCTTGGCTTTGGGTCTGGGGGTAGCAGCAGCTCTGTCCCGAGGAGATCCAGGAGGGGATGAGGTCCCAGCACCTCCCCGTGCAGGTGTGGAGGGCACCTGGCTCAGCCAGGGGTGCTGCCGGGAGCCAGCAGGGCCATGGGGACGTGGGGACATCTCCCCCGCACCTTTGCTCTGGGTTCTTTTGTTTCTGGGTCGCCTGGGAGGGAGGGGAGAAGCCGAGCGAGCTTTGGCAGGTGGGATGATTCATTCCCATGCCGCGGTGAGACGGAGCAGGAGCGGATTAGCAGGAGCCTGGGAAGGGAATCAGGAAGGGCAGGGCTGCCCCGGGCACGGCCCAGCCTTGTGGCCACATGGCCCCGTTCCCAGCGCTGCTGGGGAAAGCAGAGGGGAGCCAGCAGCCCCCGAGGGTTTGCTGGGTGGGCTGGGGGTGTGGCAGGAATTTTGGGAGCATTTGGGATGTGCTGGGTGTTCATGTGGGGAAGGGGAAACTGAGGCACAGCCTCAGTGCCAGGCAGAGGGAATTGCAGGGAAGGCTCCCTGTGGGAACCAGCTGGATCCCAAGGGATCAGGCAGCAAAAAGCAGGCCCCGGATGGATCCTGGATGCTTCCCTGGGGAAGCAGGAGAGAGTTAGTGGATCCTGGGGAAGGAATCCTGGCAGAGGTCACTGGGAAACGCTCATCTGGGAACCCTGGGGAGTGTGGGATCCCTCCAGGGATGGAAGGAGGGAGGGTGGAGCAGGTTTTCAGCCTTTACCCTCGCCTGGGGCAGAGGGGATGCAAACCTGGGGCTCAGCCACAAGCTCCCTGTGTGGCCTGCAGGACTCCTGGGCCGTGCCCCTCTCTCCCTGCTGCGTTTTTGGCAGCAGCAGCAGCTGCAGGGCCGGCTCAGAGCGGAGCTGCCAGCACAGGGCAACCTCAGAGGAGATGGCATCGCCCACTCCTGCCACGACAGGCCACTTGGGACGGGGACAGGTGACATCCCTGCACCTTCTGCCCCCCCCAGCAGCCCCTGCCCTGATTCCCACAGCTCCCAGTGCCAGCCAGGGGGAGGATGTGGCCCGGGAGCCGCTCCTTTGGGGTTTTTCCCATGGAGCAGCAGCCCCGGGGCTCCTGCAGCCAGCTGAGCTCTTCCTGCTGCTGATTCACCGCGGGGCTCGGGGGCTGCAGGGCCCGGGCAGTTAATGAGTAACTCGTTCTACCTGTACGATGAGAACATGTCAGGGCACTTGCAGCTCGGGAGGAGCCGGGCTTGCAAGGCTCGGCGCTGGGATAACGGGAACGGCCGGGCTGGGGCTGGAGCAGGGGGCACAGCCCATGGTTTGGGAGCTGAGGGGCAGCAGATTTCAGGGCTGATCCCGTTTTTCCACAGCCGTGGAGCTGCTGCTGTGCTCAGCCATTCCATCCATCCCCTCAGGCTCACTGCCACCCCTCCCAGGCTGCCTTGGGTGCCCTCACCCAATATTCCAGTGGCTGTGGAGCTCTCCCTCTCCCTCCCGCCCGCGGGAGGATCCCTCTGGAAGCCCTTTCCCAAGGCTGCTGCTGCATTCCCAGCTCCCAGACTGCTTTTCCTTCTCGGTGCCTCGTTCATTCCTGGGAAATTCGGCTGCCACGTCCCCAGCAGCAGCAGTGACCCAGCAGCTGTGGCCGCTGCTGTTCCTTATCTCCGTGCCCGTGATTTTATCACTTCACCCTCTCCCCACTCCCAGGTGCTGCTGGTGCCCTTATCCTGTGTTTTGTTATTGCTGCACCTGTGACCAGCTGCTCTTTGCTCTGCATTTGTGACACAAATACCATTTTTCCTACGCTGAGACATGTACTGGGCACGCAGCGTGTTCCCTAAGTTCTGTTCCGTAGCTGGGAAACTGGGGGGAGGATTTCAGCAGCAAAGGGTTAACTCACATCCTAAAAACAGCAACCCAAATTCAGCGAGGCCCTGGAAGGAGCCCTGTGCTCTGCAGGTGAAAGGGTCCTGACCACTTTCGGCTCCATTCCTGGTTCCCCAGCTCCGTTCCCAGCCCCATTCCCAGTTCCTCAGCTCCATTCCCAGTTCCCAAGCCCCATTCCCAGTTCCCCAGCTCCATTCCCAGCCCCATTCCCAGTTCCCCAGCTCCATTCCCAGCCCCATTCCCAGTTCCTCAGCTCCATTCCCAGTTCCCCAGCTCCATTCCTGGCTCCATTCCCAGTTCTCCAGCTCCATTCCCAGCCCCATTCCCATTCCCCAGCCCCACTCCCAGCCCCACTCCCAGTTCCCCAGCCCCACTCCCAGCCCCATTCCCATTCCCCATTCACGGTTCCCCATTCCCATTCCCCAGCCCCATTCCCAATCCCCAGCCCCACTCCCAGCCCCATTCCTGGTTCCCCATTCCCACTCCCCAGCCCCATTCCCAGTTCCCCAGCCCCACTTCCAGCCCCATTCCCAGTTCCCCAGCCCCACTCCCAGCCCCATTCCCAGTTCCCCAGGATGTCTGGAGCGGGCTGACCCCATGCCAGAGGGGTGAGTCATGGAGGGGCCCTGCAGGACCGAGCTGGGTGTCCTGCTGTGGCTCCTCATCCTCATCCATCACGGGCACACGCAGCTGTCCTGGCAGGAATGGGATCAGGAACGGGGTCAGGAGCGGGTTCCCCATTCACGGTTCCCCATTCCCATTCCCCAGCCCCATTCCCAATCCCCAGCCCCACTCCCAGCCCCATTCCTGGTTCCCCATTCCCACTCCCCAGCCCCATTCCCAGTTCCCCAGCCCCACTTCCAGCCCCATTCCCAGTTCCCCAGCCCCACTCCCAGCCCCATTCCCAGTTCCCCAGGATGTCTGGAGCGGGCTGACCCCATGCCAGAGGGGTGAGTCATGGAGGGGCCCTGCAGGACCGAGCTGGGTGTCCTGCTGTGGCTCCTCATCCTCATCCATCACGGGCACACGCAGCTGTCCTGGCAGGAATGGGATCAGGAACGGGGTCAGGAGCGGGCACAGCAGGAATGGGGACGTGCTGGGGGTGTCACCAGCCCTGCTGGGCCCCAGGGAACCGCTGCAAACCTCCCCTGGCCCACCCAGTTTTGGGTTGGAATGAATTCCCAGTCTGGATGTGCCCAGCAAGGCTCAGGGTGCAGCCCTGCCCTCCTCCCCAAGGACACCAGCAGCCCCCAAGGGTTCATCCCAGAAAAGCAGCAGGAAGAGCTTTATTTATCCCCAGGTGGGGAGAAGTGAGGGGTGTGGGGTTGTGCTCCTGCACAGAAGGAAGAATTCCCATAGAACCAGGAAATCAGGGAAGCCCCCAGCCCCGAGTGCTGCCTCTCCTCAGCGCTGCCTCTCCTGTGGTGCTTCCTGTAGCTTTTCCAGTTTTTTTGCAGTAAAAATCTTCCTTGCAGCTGCCTTTGTGGCTGTGGGGCTCTGCCCCAAAACTGCCAGGCACCCAGAACCCAGAGGAAGTGAGGGGTCTGAGTGGGATCTGAGCTGGGAATGCTGAGGGATCAGGTGGAATCAGAGCAGAGGAAACCTTTCCACTCCTCCCCGTGGAAAACACACTCAGGACACACTGGGATGGTTTTTCTGTGGAGCTGGGACACCCTGAAAGTGAAATGTGCCTCTGCCCCCCCTCTTTTCCAGCCCAGGAGCCCCAGCTTTAGGTCAGGATCTCCTCCCAGGCTCCCAGCAGCAACCAAGCCCTGGCCCCACGTTGGCAAGGAGACCCAACAACAAACAGCCCATCCTGGGCACCTGCCCAGGGCCCTTTCCCAGGAATCCCTGCTGGGAAGATGTTCTGGGAACGGCTCTTCCACCAGCTCTGATCTGCTTTTCCCTGTGTCCTTGGTACAGATTATCCAGAAGCAGGAGAACCAGAAGGAAAACTTGGACCAGAGGTTCCCCAGCCTGTTCAAGAAGGGCCGAAGGAAAACGGTTGTCAGGAATTTGGGCAAAATTATTTATTACTCCAAGGTCAAGTTTAAGTTCCAGCACTGCCAGGTAAACCTGAGGCAACTTTGTGGGGTTTCTGTGCCCAGGGATGGTGGAGTAGTTGGGAAGGGAGGGGTAATTCTGGGAAATGGGATCACGGAGAATCCTCTGGGCACTGCCACGTGGTGCCCACCTGCTGCCATCCCTGTGGGCACCTGGGGCACTTCTATCAGCACAGACGTGGTCCTTGGAGCAGCTTCTCCATGCCTGGGATGCAGGGGGAGGCGGGGAGGTGTCCTGAGATGACCCCAGAGGTGTCCTGAGGTAACCCCAAGGTGTCCTGAGATGACCCCAAGGTGTCCCTTCTGCAGGAGGTCAACAGCTGCTTCCTGGAGCTGTTCCAGTCCTACCTGTACTTCCAGTCCACGGGTCCCAACGGCCTCACCTACCAGGTAGGGCCTCGCCTGGGCGAGCTGGGCTTTGGGCTCTGTGGCCTACAAACTCCTGCAGATGTCCCCAAGTCCCTTCCCGGGGATGCCAAACTCCCAAAGGGTGTTTTGTCCCAGAGCCTGTCCCCGAGCAGCTCAGGGTCACTGGGCAGGGGTGAAGGGGCCCAGGGACAGGGAGGAGCAGGGGGGAGGTGACCTGGAGCCACCTTTGTGCTGAGCCTTGGGAAACCCCAAATCCCCCCGGCCCTGGTGCCCATGGGGGTCTAGAGGGAATTCTCCATCTGCAGGATGGGCTTTTCCAACATGAATTATTCTGTGGGAGAAGGGGGGAAGAGAAAGCTGAGCCTCAGGGAGCTCTGCTGGCAAACCACTCATGAATCTTTTAACCTGGTGGTGCTGGGGAGTTGCAAATAATGAATGAACTGTTCTGCACCACAGCTGTGAAACAACAGCCCCTGAATGTTCTCTTCCTCCACACAACTGAGGAGCTAAAACTGAGCATGTCTGGGAGCTGACTGTAAAATTAATTCCTCTTAGAAATTATTAATTAGCCTTTAGATGACTTGAGGTTGATGTAAAACATCAGGAAAACCTCTCCAGTCACCCCCAAGGCAGCCTTCAAGTGAAAATTCCCGTTTCAGGAGACAAACAACATCTCAAACACTCCTGACTCCTTTAGAAACAGCTCCTGAGTTTATTAATTGTGGAGCAATTAACAAGGAATTAATGTGCCCCAAGGCATTAGAGCCATTAGCATCTTTTATGGAGGGAGGACAAAGTTGTCACCTGTTCCTGGGCTTTGGCAGAGTGGGAATCTGAGCATGCAGAGTCTGGGAACTGGACAGCTCAATTTTCCTTTAGGGCCAGCCCCATTCTCTGCCTTTCTCCTGCTAAATCACCACTATTTTGCTGAGGTTTGTCTTAAAATGGAAAGAGGAAACAAACCAGTGGAATATAAAGATACTCCTGAGCGTGGCAGAGGATTGCTGCAGGATGGAGCCCGAGTAACCCCTGCTCTCCTTCCCCAGGGGCTGCTGCCTCTGAAGGAGCTGCGGGTGCGTGAGCTGGGGGCTGGCCAGAGCCCCGGCCAGCAGGACCACGCTTTCCACATCTCAGGTGGGTCTGGGGGCTGCTGGGGAGGGGGCCTGGGGTGGCCCTGCTCCCTGTGCCAGCCCCGGGGACACCCCCAGAGCCCCCACTGCAGCAGTCCCAGGCGTGTCCCCCAAGTTCCTCTCCCGATTTTCTGTTCCTTCTGGGCCCTCTTTAGATGTGGCAATGGGTGATGCCCTCGGGGTGTGCCCGGGGCTGAGGGTCAGCTGAGGGTCATGCCCTGGCAGCACGATTGCTGCTGGCTTTAATTTGCATTTATAATTGGAGTGAGGAGCTGGATGCCCCGGGGAATGCCCAAGAGCAGCATCACACAGGGAAAACAAGGCAAGAGGAAACAGGAGAGCTCCAGAGCCACAGCCACGTGGGTGCCCGAAAATGCTCCAAATGCACCAAATTGCTGTCATGGGTTTGGAGTCACTGCCCCACTTCCCCACCTCAGCTTTGTTTACCCTGCATTTCCTGCAAGACAGACACACTTCAAAGGCTCAGTGAAACGTTTGTTTATAAATACTGCAGGAATTAGGGCACTAAAGATACCTCAGAAGGGCAAAGTCCCCCCCGTTTATCCAGGCTTATCTGGGTACCTCCGAGTCCCACAGAGGCAGATCCTTCTGAGCCTGCAGCAGGCAGGGTTTAATATGGGCTGAGAGGTAAATTATTAATCACAACATCCACTCTGCATCCTGCCAGGAATGGTTATTGCCCTCAGCAGGCTGTGCTGGGAGCAGGTAGCAGAGGGTGTGGGAGCCTGTGCTCATGCCCTGAGATGAGTGAGAGCTGGAAACTCTAGAATCAACAAGCTGCAGGGCTGTCCCTCCCTCTGAGGGGATGTCTGGAGTCATCCTCAGCTTGGCTGGCACGGGTTAGGTTCGGTGAGGCAATAAATAAACAAACAGTGTCAGAAAGCTACTGGTGTTCTACGTCTGGAGGGCCAGGGTGGAACTGAGAGACAGCACGGGGCTTTCTGCTGAGGGAGCAGCACCTTGGGACAGCCCCTGCCCACACAGAGCCTTCCCACAAACTGCTGGGGGGGTTGGAAAGCTGAAATCCACCTCTGGAGGTCAGGCTTGGCTTTGGGGCTGACTGGGATTTGTTCTTGGCCTGGACTGGGGTTAAAAAGTGTCTGGTGGTCAGGGAGGGCTTGGTGTGTCTGGGAAGGCTGATGTGACAAAAGGGTGGCAGGGAGGGCTGGAGGGGGGTGGCAGCAGAGCTCTGGTGTCCCCACACCCTGAGGAGGGACGGGCAGAGTGCCAGCTCTGCCATGAGGACTGCAGGGGGGTGGCAGCAGGGCAGGGGTGTCCCCACACCCTGAGGAGGGACGGGCAGTGTGCCAGCTCTGCCATGAGGACTGCAGGGGGGTGGCAGCAGAGCTCTGGTGTCCCCACACCCTGAGGAGGGACGGGCAGTGTGCCAGCTCTGCCAGCTGGCTCCTGATGGATGCTGCCATCGCTGCCCAGCTCTGCTGTGCTCACCGTGGCTCTCCCACCCCCAGGGCCCCTGCTGAACCCCCTGGTGGTGTTCTGCCAGTCTGAGGCCGAGCTGAAGCAGTGGCTGTACCACCTGGAGAAGCAGATCCAGCTCTGTGGAGGGAGCCTGGCCTTGCCCCTGCTGTCCCAGGTGGGTGTCCCATGGCCGTGTCCCGCTGCTGGCTCCCAGCATTCCCTTTGCGGGGCTTTCCTGGAGATAAAAGGGTGCAAAAAGAGCTTGCAAGAGGGGCCTGAGAGCCACTGGCAGGGGGGTGTGCTGGGAGGAAGAGCTGCCACCCACGGGTGCCACCAGCAGCACAACTGGGGTCAGAGCTTGGGTCTCAGAGAGGCTGTCACGCTTTTGGGTGCTTGTGCAACCACCCAGAGCTTGCAAAACACCAGGAGGAGGAGGCTGAAGCCTGGAAAACAGAGAGGAATTGTCTCTCCCAGTCTCTGAGGGTGTTTAATTCCCTCCCCACTTGTCAAACAGAAATATCCCCCTTGGAAAGGCATTTCCAGGCGATGCTCGCTGTGGAGAATGACAATCCATTCCCAGCTGCAAAACTGCCTCCTGCCCAGATTTCTCTGTTCTTTCCTGCTCCTGCCACAGCAGAAAAGCACCCCCGGGTGGGGCAGGCCTGGCTGGGTGCTCAGTGTGTCTGTCCCTAGAGCGGCTGGACGCAGAGTGCCGGGGACAAGGAGGAGCTGCGCTGGTCCGTGCAGAACCTGCCCGTGCAGGAGTGGAGGGGAACCCAGCGGGAATCCCTGGGAGAAATCCTCTGCGTGTCCAAGGTGAAGCTCCAGCACCTGCCCTTCCAGGTAGGACACGGCTCTGGGGAGGGAGGGATGGATCCATGGATGGAGGATGGATGGATGGATGGATCCCTGGATGAAGTCACTAGTGCTCCATGTCCCAGCACAGGGAAGCATCCTGGCCCTTCCCAAATCCATCTCTGAGCAGAGGGAACAGCTCAGCCCAGCTGTTCCCAGAGCCCTTGCCCCAGGCTGCTGTCAGGAGGACAAAGCCCAGGGCTCTCCAGCTCTGAGCCTGGCTGTTCCCAGGGACCCACCCCTCTCCCTGCTGTTCCCCAGGAGCAGCACGACCGGCTGCTGGTGCTCTACCCCTCCACGCTGGTGATCGTGTCCGAGGAGCCCGCTGGCCTCTGTTTCAAGGTGAGTTCCTCTCAGAGCAGCCTGCTGCTCCCCACCTGCATTCCCCGTCCCTCCCGTGCCAGCTGGCAGGGAGCAGGCACAGGCATGGTGCAAGATCCCTTCCCATGGGAAACACCTCGCACTCCTCCAGCAGCCCAGGGGGAAGGAGCTGCTGCCAAGGAGGAGGAGGAGGAGGAGGAGGGAGGCTGTGCTGGCAGGGAGCCCAGCCCTCCTGCTGCAGACAGGAGCTGGCACGGCCCCAGAGAGCCCCTCAGGGGGTTTTGCCCCCCAGGCTCTGTGCCATGGGACCACTTTGGAGCTGGGAGCAGCCTGGCAGCACAGCTGATGCTGTGGGGAAGGGCACGGGAGGGGAGGGGAGGGGAGGCTGCTGCTGCTGCAGCGCTGGCAGCGTTCCCCCTCTGCAGGAGCAGCAGGGACAGCAGGGACAGGGAGCATCCCAAGGGATGCCAGAGCAGCTTCTCCGCTGTGCCTGCCTGTGGGAGCAGTGCTGGAGCCTCAGCACGGGCAGGCAGAGGCACTGAGCAGTGAGAATGGCCCTGAAATCATCCAGTGCCATCCCCGGTGGCACTTGGGGACACGGCTGAGTGGGAGCACGGCTGTGCTGGTTAATGCTGGGCTGCCTGGTGCTCGAGGGCCTCTCTGCTCTTCCCTTCCTGTGATTCTGTGATCTCGAGCATCGTTTGATGGCTCACTCAGAGCTCTCTGCTCCTCCTGTGCTGGAACAAATGTGCCAAAAGGAGCAGTGACCTGTCTGTGACCCCGGAGCTGCTGCTCTGCTGCATCCCTGAGTCACCGAGCCAGGGACAAACAGCCCTGCAGAGCTGCAGGGCTGTGAAATGCGCCGTGAACCCCCCGGGGCCCTGCTCCACATCCTGCAGAACGCTTTCCTTGTTATTCCTGGGAAGATAAGAGCATCTGCCGGGAGGAGCGCCGTGAGCAGGCAGAGCTCTCCCCATGCCTGGTGTTTTCCAGCAGCTGGGACACTCCCCGGGCACAGCCTGCTTTCGGGAATGTGCTCTTTGCAGCTCCTGGGAATGGGGCACCACGCAAGGGGGCCTGGGCTGGGCTCTCCCATGAGCTCATCTCTTTTGAAACCCTAAACCTGCGCCGTGCCATGTTCCCTTCCCGGGCAGTGCTCCCTTCCCAGGCACTGCTCCCTTCCCACGGTGCCGGGCTGATTCACCAGCCTGTGACAGGAACCTGCTTTTCCACAGGCGTGTCAGGGCACGGGAGCCTCCCGGGGGCTGCAGCGCTTCCCCTGCCCGGCCCTTCTGCTCTGCAGCTTCACAGCGACCACAGGAGCTGCCCCTGCCAAGGCTGTGGGGCAGGGAAGGGGCTGGCATGGGGCTCACCCCAATCCTCCGGTGGGAAAAGGCCCTGGGCGAGGGGGAAACCAGCAAGGGGGAGCTGCTGGGGGGGCTGGAGTTATCTGGGCATGTTGGTGAGCTTCCCGACTTTATCCAGAGGGTGTCTCAGCACCTGGAGGCAGCAGGAATCCCACTGGGATGTGCAAGGGGCAGGAATCTCACTGGGATGTGCAGGGAGCAGGAATCTCACTGGGATGTGCAAGGGGCAGGAATCCCACTGGGATGTGCAGGGGGCAGGAATCTCACTGGGATGTTGCAGGAGGAGGCAGAAATCCTGCTGGGATGTGCAGGGAGCAGGGATCTCACTGGGATGTGCAGGAGGCAGCAGGAATCCCACTGGGATGTGCAGGGAGCAGGAATCTCACTGGAATTCCCCCTGTGGAAGCAGTTTGGCTGCCCAGATGCCCAGAGCTGTGCCCCATGGCACGGGCAGGAGCTCTGCTGGCTCCATGATCCCAACCCTGCCCCTCTCTCCACAGGGAGAGCTCCCCCTCAACGCCATCCAGGTGCTTTTTGAGGAGAATGACAAAACCTCCTTTCTGATCGAAGGTGGGTGCCCAGCACGGGCAGGGGGCACTGGTGGTGTGGGGGCACCTCCTGCTGGGCAGCCAGGCTCCCTGAATGCCCCCTTGGAAATTTGGGGTGCTCTGTGTCCCGGCAGGAGAGCAGCACCAAGGGCAGAGCATTCCCTGCAGGAGCAGGGGGATTCCCGGGGCTTTCTGAGGGGTCCAGCTCTGGGGGATGTTTTTGCAGGCCGACTGATAAATTCCATCCGGGTGACCTGTCCCAGCTACCAGGACTACCAGGAGTGGCTGTACTGCCTGAAAACCGCCCAGTTCCGAAACGCAGACTCCTCCCTCTCGGGCTCCGAGAGCTTCTCGGTGGGCTCCAAGCCGCCCCACCCCAGCCAGGTACGGGATGCTGGGGTTTGGGCTGGGAACCCACGGCTGTCCCGTCTGTGTGACACTCCAGTGACACAGCAGGCTCTGCTCGAAGCTGCCAGCAAGCTGCTGATCCCTGGGGATTATTTAAATAATTATTTATTATTTTTAAAATATTTAAATTAGTAATACAGGGGATTATACAGGGAAAAAATGGGTGGGAACCCATTTCCCACCTAGTTTTGGTGGGAACCCACGGGTGTCCCATCTGTGTGACACTCCAGTGACACAGCAGGCTCTGCTCGAAGCTGCCAAACTCACCCCAAAACCAGCACATCCCACACCCCGCTGCTGGCCATGGGGACACAGCCCGACCCCGGGGACACGAGGGCTGTGTCCCCAGGATTGTCCTTGTCCCCGTGCAGTTCCCCAGCAGCGGGAGGGGATCCCTCAGCTCTGACGGCCGGACGAACTCCTGGGCGTCCGGTGGGAGAGTGACCACGCTGACCCAGCTGTCCCAGCCCAGCTCCCTGCCCGATGGCCACTCCTTCCTGCTGAGCCCCGAGGGCAGGCTGCTGGAGGAGCCCCTCTCCCCTGGCTACTCCCAGCCTCTCCATGTAAGTGAGCCCCAAACCAGCCTGGGGGGATCCCCTGGGCTGGGGCTGGACACTGCCTTTGCTGCTGGCAGTGTTTGCTGTGGGGTTGGAGCAAATCCCTGCCTCAGCCAGGGCCTGTCCTGGCTCAGCCTGGCCAGGGAAGAGGCTGCTGAAGGATCCCAGTCCCATCCCAGTCCTAGTTTCAGTCCCAGTTCCAGTTCCAGTCCCATTTCCAGTCCCATCCCAGTTCCAGTCCCATCCCAATCCCAGTTCCATTCCCAGTTCCAGTTCCAGTCCCATCCCAGTTCTAGTCCCAGTCCCATTCCAGTTCTAGTCCCAGTCCCATCCCAGTCCCATTTCCAGTCCCATCCCTGTCCCATTTCCAGTCCCAGTCCCATCCCAGTCCCATCCCAGTCCCATCCCAGTTCCAGTCCCAGTTCCAGTCCCAGTTCCAGTCCCAGTCCCATCCCAGTCCCATTTCCAGTCCCATCCCAGTCCCAGTCCCATCCCAGTGCTCTGCCCTGTACTAGAGCTGTTGGGGATTACAGACGGGCACTCAGGAGGTTCCAAGGCTGGCAAATCCCAAAACAAAAGCTGCAGGGGATGGAGGTGCTGGCCGGGCAGGGTCTTTGCTCTGCCCCAGGGCAGGACTCGCACCCCAGGGATGGCAGAGCGCGTGGGGCAGGGCCCAGGGCAGGACCTTGGCACTTCCCGAGCCCGGAGCGATGCCCACGGGCACCGCCAGGAGAGCCAGCTGCAGGCTGTGCCCTCTCCCTGCAGAGCCTGGCACAGCCCAGCTGGCCCAGCTCAGGGCTGCCCACGCAGGAGCTGCGCAGGGGGAACAGCGCCAGGAAATCCAAGGGCAAGAGCGGCGGGCAGCAGGGGCCCGGGCAGGAGCCCGAGAGGAGCTGCAGCCTCGTCCCCGAGAGCCCCCCGGGAGAGACCCCGTCCCCCGTGTACCAGGAGCCCTACAGGGCACACGGCCCCCAGCAGCACCCCCCGGCACAGCTGGAGCTGGGCAGGGTAGGGCATGCAAGGGGATGGGGCTGAGGGTGGGATGGGATGGGGGAGGGATCAGGATGGATTGGGATGGATGTGGGATGGAGATGGGGGTGGGATCAGGATGGATGTGGGATCAGGATGGATGTGGGATGGGGCTGGGTGTGGGATGGATGTGGGATGGGGATGGGTGTGGATCCTCCTGCCTGGGAAAAGCAAGGTTCACCCTTCCCTGCTGGTGCTGCTGGCAGGGACAGGGGCCTGGCAGGTGCCTCAGAGCAGGTGTGAAAGCATTGCCATGGGAAAAGGGGCCGTGGGAAGGAGGTTGCACATGGCAGATGGAGCAATGCCTCCCAGAGCCCTGGCATGTGGGCACCAGCTCCTGAGGCAACCCATGAGTAGGAGGTTATTGCCTAATGGCACACAGCCTCCTCTTCCAAGGGTTTTCCAGCATGTCTCCATCAGTTTTTTAGTGTCATGCCACTTTCCCAACCCCTCGGTGACTGTTCCTTAAGGAATTCCCCTCCTTGGCCCAGCCAGGACTCAGTCCCATCACCCCACAGGGATGAGCAGCATTTGGGACTTTATTTGCAGGGCCATTCCCCACTCCAACCCCCCCCCGGGGACGAGCTGCCAGTGCCCTGTCCCCATTTCCATCCTGCCTTGGGGCTGAACTGACAGAGCTGGGTGGGAGCTCAGCCCTCTCCCCTTTCCCTGATCCCTCCACTCCCAGTTCCCCCAGTGGGGCCTCCCCCTTTCCCTGATCCCTCCACTCCCAGTTCCCCCAGTGGGGCCTCCCCCTTTCCCTGATCGCTCCACTCCCAGTTCCCCCAGTGCTCCCAGTGAGGCCTCCTGCAGGAGCTGCTGCTGGCCCTGTCTCAGCAGCCAGGCTCCTGCCTCCAGGAGCTGTGCCCGGGGGTATTCCTTTCCCTGCCATCTGAGGAGGGATGGAAAGTCCAGAGCTGCATTTCGGGGTGGGGCAGGGCCCAGCAGAGCTCGCTGCTCCCTCCAGCCAGGGCAGGGCACAGGGGAACAGGTTTCTCCTGTCTGTGATGTTCCCCTGCACATCACAACCAGCAGACAAAGGCAGGCACAGAGACGTGAGCCAGGCTCCTGAAACTGCAGATGAGTCAGAGCCAGAGCTCGCTCTGGCCACCCCAAAAAGCCCAGCTGAGATAAGGGAGTGCCTGGTAAAAGCCATATTGCTGCTTGGGAGAATCTGATAGGGAAAACCTTCCTGAGTCACCCCACCTGGGGAGACCCCCTTCCCTCCAGGCTCCTTCCTGGCTCTGCCCTGCCCTTCTGCACCCCTGACTGCTTTCATCCTGCTCTGGCCAGCTCCCAGCACGCCTGTGGCTCGCTGGGCATGAGCCCTGGCCTCTGTGCCCACCTGAGCAGAGCTGCTGGGGAGGGCAGACCCAGCAACCCCTGCCTGGCCTGAACGGGCTGGGTTTGGGGTGGGCAGCACCAGGTGGGCATTTCCCAGTTCTCCACAGCCAGGATCCATCCTGGGGCTGGATTTGGGGTGGGCAGCACCAGGTGGGCAGCACCAGGTGGGCATTTCCCAGCTCTGCACAACCAGGATCTAATCTGGGGCTGGATTTTGGGGTGGGCAGCTCCAGGTGGACATTTCCTAACTCTTCACACCCAGGATCCATCCTGGGGCTGGATTTTGGGGTGGGCAGCTCCAGGTGGGCATTCCCCAGTTCCCCACACCCACTGTCCATCCTGGGTCTGGTTTTGTTGCAGTTCCTGCAGTGCCACGGGCAGACAGGACCAGCCCAGGGCACCGTGCCAGGTGCCCAGCAGCTGTCCCTGGAGCAGTGGCACTGCCAGCCCCTGCCAGGGCACTGCAGGGAGGTGCCCTCTGTCCCCATCTACAGCACCCCGGGCACCGCACGGCGGCTGCAGCTGCGGGCACCTGCCCAGGGCTCCTACCTGGGGGAGGTGAGGCTGGGCACTGCCCCGGGGGGTGCAGGGGGCACTTGGGGTGAGGGGACATTCAGGGGGTACAGAGGGACACTCAGGAGGTACAGGAGGACACTCAGGGGGTTCAGGGGACACTCAGGGTGCAGGGGAATCTTGGGGTGAGGGGACATTCAGGGGGTACAGGGGCCACTCAGGGGGTGCAAGGGCCATTCAGGGGGTACAGGGGACACTCAGGGGGTTCAGGGGATACTTGAGGTGCAGGGGACACTTGGGGTAAGGGAACATTCAGGGGGTACAGGGGACACCCAGGGGGTGCAGGGGACACTTGGGGTGCAGGGGACACCCAGGGGGTGCAAGGAACATTCAGGGGGTACAGGGGACACCCAGGGGGTGCAGGGGACACTTGGGGTTCAGGGGACACTCAGGGGGTACAGGGGACACTCAGGGGGTGCAGGGGACACCCAGGGGGTGCAGGGACACCGCTGGGGTCCCACCTTGCCGGGGGGTCCCTGCAGGGCTCTGCCCCTGAGCTCAGCAGGGATGAGGCCGAGCCCGGCCGGGCAGTGTCCCAGGCTGGCACAGCCGTGCCACCCTCACCCGCTGTCCCTCTGTCCCCAGATGTGCTCGCTGCCACAGGAACAGCTGGGCCCTGAGCTGCGTCCCCCAGGTGAGGCCTGCAGGGCTGGGCTCTGCCCCCTCCTGCTTTGGCACCTGGCACCCGGCCTGCCCCCCTGGCACCCCCAGCGTGGGCACCCTGCTTAACGAGAGTTTTGGGATTTCTCTCTTAAAACACACTGACTCCTCAGAGAGCACCACGTTTTAATTCAGGCCGTAGAGAAAACTTTTAAAATTAAATAATGAAACGAAGATATTAAATATTATAAATTTATATAATGATATAAATTAATTATATATATATAATATAATTAAAATAGATTATGTAATTTTGTGTCATATATTTATATATATAAATATTATATAGCTAACATATATAAATATTATTTTAATAGATTTTTTAAATTGTAAATATAAATATTTTTCCCTGTTTCCCTGCAGATGGCACCTGCCCCTGCCAGGACTCATATTTTTGTATTTTTATATTATTATATTTTTAGATATTTTATATTTAAAATACATATTTTTTTATACATGAACCCCCAACGGTAACCCCACAACCCGTTTCCCTGCAGATGGCCCCTATGCCCTGGCAGACGCCGCCTGCCCCTGCCGGGACTCCTCGTCCTACCACGACTACGCGGAGCTGCAGAGCTTCCAGAGCGACCGGAGCTACGACAACCTGTGGGAGGCGGAGGGGAGGGAGCCGGGCAGCCCCGGGCGGGCCCCGCCGGTGTTCCAGGTCTGAGCCCGGGCAGGAGAACCCGGCACGGGCAGGGAGGAGCCCGCAGCTCTGCCCGCATGGCCTGGCACGTGTGGGGCTCGCTGCCAGCCCCAAACCCCGGCGTGGGGCCGAGCAGAGCAGCCCCAGGCTCTGTGGGGCTGCAGGAGCAGCTGTGCCTCAAAAAGGCTGAGGCTGCTCCAAAAATCCAGCTGTGCCCCCGAAAATGCCAGAGCCAAAGGGTCAGGCTGCCTCGGGGAAGGGGACGTGGTGAGCAGAGGGAGAACCCAAGAGGTGCCTGCATTAGTTGGGTTCCTTTGCACCAGAGCCCTCGGCTGCTCCCTGTGAGGATCCCTGGGAACAGCAATGTCAGGATCCCTGGGAACAGCAATGTCAGGATCCCTGGGAACAGCAATGTCAGGATCCCTGGGAACAGCAATGTCAGGATCCTTGGGAACAGCCCTGTCAGGATCCTTGGGAACAGCAATGTCAGGATCCCTGGGAACAGCAATGTCAGGATCCTTGGGAACAGCAATGTCAGGATCCCTGGGAACAGCAATGTCAGGATCCTTGGGAACAGCAATGTCAGGATCCCTGGGAACAGCAATGTCAGGATCCTTGGGAACAGCAATGTCAGGATCCTTGGGAACAGCAATGTCAGGATCCTTGGGAACAGCAATGTGAGGATCCTGGGGAACAGCAATGTCAGGATCCTTGGGAACAGCAATGTCAGGATCCTTGGGAACAGCAATGTCAGGATCCCTGGGAACAGCAATGTCAGGATCCCTGGGAACAGCAATGTCAGGATCCTTGGGAACAGCCCTGTCAGGATCCTTGGGAACAGCCCTGTGAGGATCCTGGGAACAGCAATGTCAGGATCCCTGGAACAGCCCTGTGAGATCCATGGAAGAACCCTGTCAGGATCCCTGGGAACAGCCCTGTCAGGATCCCTGGGAACACCCATGTCAGGATCCTTGGGAACAGACCTGTGAGATCCATGAGAACAGCACTGTCAGGATCCTTGGGAACAGCCCTGTGAGATCCATGGAAGAACCCTGTCAGGATCCATGGAAGCAGCCCTGTGAGGATCCTTGGGAACAGCCCTGTGAGATCCATGAGAACATCACTGTCAGGATCCATGGGAACAGCCCTGTGAGATCCCTGGGAACAGCCCTGTGAGAATTCCCTGGAACAGCCCTGTGAGGATCCTTGGGAACAACGTCAGGATCCCTGGAAGAACCCTGTGAGGATCCCTGAGAACAGCCAGAGCTTCCCCCAGCCGGCTCTGGAGGCTGCCAGGATGCCCAGGGCATTGCCCATCCTGGCAGCTCACAGAGCAGAGGCAGCAGACAGAAAATGGAGGGGGAAAAACCCCAAACCCCAGCCAGGTCTGAGCACGGTGGGGTTTCCTAGGATCCTTGGGAACAGCCCTGTGAGATCCATGGAAGAACCCTGTCAGGATCCATGGAAGCAGCCCTGTGAGGATCCTTGGGAACAGCCCTGTGAGATCCATGAGAACATCACTGTCAGGATCCATGGGAACAGCCCTGTGAGATCCCTGGGAACAGCCCTGTGAGAATTCCCTGGAACAGCCCTGTGAGGATCCTTGGGAACAACGTCAGGATCCCTGGAAGAACCCTGTGAGGATCCCTGAGAACAGCCAGAGCTTCCCCCAGCCGGCTCTGGAGGCTGCCAGGATGCCCAGGGCATTGCCCATCCTGGCAGCTCACAGAGCAGAGGCAGCAGACAGAAAATGGAGGGGGAAAAACCCCAAACCCCAGCCAGGTCTGAGCACGGTGGGGTTTCCTTCCCATCTTCCTGGCCAGAATTGTTCCTTCCTGCCACTGCTGCCTCCAGACCTGGTGCCAGCAAAAACGCCAGCTGAGCTATGCTCCTTGAGGTCTTCCCTGCAGAGGAAACCCCAAATCCCCCAAATGTGGGGGTCCCTCCTTTCCTCCCTCCCTGGGCTCACCCCAAGTGCTGCCTGTGGCTGTCCAGGCAAGGAGAGGAGAAAATCCCCCCAGGAGAAACTGCAGGAGAGCCAGAGTGACCAGAGCAGTGCCAGGGGGGCTGGGCTGTCCCTGATGCCCCCCTGGGCCCCCCAGAGCCAGGACAGGACACAAACAAGGCACAGAGTCTCAGGGTTGTTATTTTCCAGCCTCTCGGGCCAGATCCTTTTGGAAGGTCAGCAGCAAATCCAAATGTTTTCACTTGAGGCTCTGAATTCTTCACCTTTGTTCCCTGCAGAGGCTGCAAATCAAACACAGCAACAAAACCTCTGCTTTAGTTCTTCCTCTGGTGCACCCACAACCATTTGTACTGGAATGTCTCTGGTTGTGTTTTGGGGTTTTTCGGGAGGCGCCCAACAAAGTTTACATGTAAAGGCTGGGTGGGTTCTGTGTATTTAAATGTAAATGTGGCTGGTTGAAGAGCTGTTGAGTTTTCTAGCTGTGGCTGGTGTTCAGTTCTGTAAAACACCTTCAGGAGCGTGTGGCTTCGGGTCTTGGAGCTGCTGTTGTTTTCTCTCAGGTTTGCTCTGTCTTGGGGAGGATTTGTGTCTGATAAGCCCCAAAAATTCGATTTATTCTGAACAAAATGTGCTAGGGGACATCCCAAACATACTGGGGAGTTTCCCTGCCCCTGAGAGAACACTTTGAGGGTCACCATCGTATTTTAACTAATTTTAAGATCCCGTCCTGCTGATATTAAAGTTCCCTGTGGATTTCTGAGACTGGACAATCCCCTGGCATCACTTCCCTCTCTTTGCCATTCTTTGCCTGGACGGAAATGAATTTTTGCCCGTCCCTGCTGCCCTGGGGCTCTGTCCAGGAGGATTTCCAGGCTCCTGAGTGTCTCCAGCTCGGGTCAGCCTCCTGTTATCCCTTCATCCTTGGCCAAAGTCTCCCCAGGGCCTGTCAGGACCTGGGTTTGGGTTTTCCCTGTTCGGATGCTGCTCCAGGTGGGTTTGTGGCTGTAAAAACTCTTCCTCCTGCTTTTCCTTCAACACATTTCTCAGCAGACTCAGGATTTAAAAGTGGGTTTGTTTAGAGCAGCACCAGACCTGTCTGGGTTGCGTTGAGGTGGAAATTGGTTCCTGCAAACACACAAAAACCTCTTCAGTCCCGAGCACTGAGCCCATCCTTCCCCTGGCTGCCGCACGAATCTTGGATTTCTCTCTGCCCTCTGATTTTGAAGCCACAAAAACCCCATTTTTCCCCCCCCTCAAAGAATAAACAGCAAAATTTAGGGGGAAAAAAAATCATTAGAAAGTGAAGTTTGTAACCTGCTCCTTTGCCTTTGGGAGCTGGGAGAAATTCTCTGTGAGACAACACAGCAAAAATCAGGCTGTTGGTGTATTTTTATTATCTTTACGAGGACATTTACACCAAAGGTTGGGAAGGTGTTTGGGATCCACTCCGGGCTGTGGGAGCAGCTCCCCGAGTGCCCTGTGGTGGGAGAATGCAGCAGAACACGCCAGGGACTGCAGCTGCTGCTCCTCTGCTCTGAGAGGAGCCCCAAAACCCCTCCGGAGGGCCAAGGAAATTCCACAGGAATTCCCACGGGAGGCTCTGCCCTGCTTCGGGCAGAGAGAGGTGGAGGGAAAGTCAGAGTGGAGGGAAATGGGAGTGGAAAAAATCGGAGTGGAAAAAATCGGAGTGGAAAAAAATCGGAGTGGAAAAAATTCCAAGGGAAGGAAAATTCCGAGAGAGGGAAAAATCAGAGGGAAGGAAAAATCAGAGTGAAGAAAAAATTGGAAGGAAGATTCAGAGGGAAGGAAAATTCAGAGGAAAGGAAAAATCGGAGTGAAGAAAAATTCCGAGGGAAGGGAAATATCAGAGTTAAAGAAAAATCCGAGGGAAGGGAAAATCAGAAAGAAGGAAAATTCAGAGTGAGGAAAAAATCAGAAGCAAGGAAAATTCAGAGGGAAGGAAAAATGAGAGGGAAGGAAAAATCAGAGTGAAGAAAAAATCAGAAGGAAGGAAAATTCAGAGGGAAGGAAAAATGAGAGGGAAGGAAAAATCAGAGTGAAGAAAAAATAAGGAAGGAAAATTCAGAGAAAAGGAAAATTCAGAGGGAAAGGAAAATCAGAGTTAAAGAAAAATCCGAGAGAGGGAAAAATCAGAAGGAAGGAAAATTCAGAGTGAAGAAAAAATCAGAGAGAAGAAAAATTCAGAGGGAAGGAAAAATCAGAGGGAAGGAAAATTCAGAGGGAAGGAAAAATCAGCGGGAAGGAAAATTCAGAGTGAAGGAAAATCAGAGTAAAGGCGAACTGAGAGTGAAGGAGCTGCTGCGGCCAGAGCCGTTCCCGGGAGAGGGGGAGAGGCATCCCGGTGCCCGGCGGGATGAAATACGGGGCAGCTCCTCGGGCCGCACCTGCCTGACTTTTTCATGTGCCTGGCACTGCCGGGAGGTGTCAGCTGAGGCAGCGACGTGCGGGGACAGCGGGCAGGGGTGGCAAGCTGGGCACCAGCCTCGGGGCACGCAGCATGCACCCGAAGGTCGCTGCGGTTGTGCCGGGTGAGGGGCGAGGTGCTGGCAGCTTTTGGCTGGGAGAAATCCTTGGCTATATTGAATTTGGGAGGTTTAATCTCCATTCTGGCCGTGGATAAAAATGCCAGGCGTGCTCGGCCTTGCAGTGAGGCGGAGGAGAGAGCTGGAAAGGTCAGGGAATAAAGCAAGCATTAAAATTTCAGGCTGCTCTGCTCCCTGGCGGAGAATCCCAGCTCCCCCGGGAGCAGCAGGACCTTTCAGCAATTCCTTCCACTCCTGCAGGCAGCTGAGAGCCTCCAGCTCCTGAAATATTCATCACATCCTGTGCTTCCAGGGGGGGTCAGGGGAGAGTGCAGGGCACCTCTCAGGCTGCCAAGTGCTGCTGGCACCTCCCTTTGGTGTCTGAGGGGTCACACAGCAAATATCACAGGCAGCAGAGGGTGACAGGCCCCTCCTGTCACCCCCAGGGCTCTGCTGGGAGCAGCGCTGGGGAGCAGGCATGGAGACAGTGGGGTATTCCCCCTTTGGAGGGGAAAATTTGGGGCACTGAGCCTGTCCCTGCTGGAGCAGCTCAGGGACAGCCAGCAGTCGCTGTCCCCACGCCAAGGGCAGGTCCCCAAGGCCAGGGGATGGCCTGGGGCGGATCCAGCAGCCCCCAGCACACAGCCCTGCTCCTGTCCCTGCAGCAGAAGCATCCTCGGTGAAGGGTTTTGGCCAGGAACCCTCCCAGGTTCAGAGAAACCCTCAATGCCTGGGGCAGCCATAAATCACTTGGTTAAAGCCAGGGAGGATGGTGAAACCCATCCCAGCCCAGCTGGGGATGCTGCTCCGGGGGATCCTGGATGCTGCTCTGGGGGATCCTGGATGCTGCTCTGGGGGATCCTGGCTGCAGAGGGGCACAGGGATGCAGGGAGGGATGGAGGCTGTGCTGCTGGGCTGTGCCTGCTGCTGATCAGCCAGGCTGTGCTTCAGAGGGACAGGGACACAGGGGACACAGCCCCTCAGAGGGACAGGAACAGGAGCACAGGGGACACAGCCCCTCATAGGGACAGGGACACAGGGGACACAGCCCCTCAGAGGGACAGGAACAGGGACACAGCCCCATGCCCCTGCCTGCTCTGTCCCCAGGGCCCCAAACCCACCAGCTCTGCAGCTGCACACACCCACACACACTGATTTATCCTCCTGCAAAGCCCAGGGCTCCCTCAACGGCTCCCCACAGACAGAGGGATGGACACAGAAGTAGTAAATGAGACCGAGCTTTATTAGAAGCTTCCAGCACGTTCCATCTGCTCTCTGTGGGTGTCCAGGCCATGCAGAGCCTGTCCATCCCCAGTCCCAGCCCCAGATCTCCCCGTGCCCTCCTCCCAGCAACAACCCACTGCCTCCCCTGCACCCCTGCAAGCCTCGTGGCTCTCTCAGCACAAGGAATGAGCCTCCCCTCCCTGCTGGCACCTCACAGACACGGCAGAGCCCCCGTGGATCTCAATCCCACACTGCTGCTCTCACCGGGCTGGTGAGGGGAGGAGATTCCTGTGAATAATGCCCTGGGGTGCTGAGGGGGGCTCTGGGGAGAGGGGGAACCGAACCATTTCATTTTCCACCTCCCCAGCCCCACAGCTTCCACCTCCCCTCACCCCCCCAGCCAGCTCTGCCCCTCCAGGACGGGAGGCACAAAAGGAATAAATCAAATATGCAATCCAACATTTCCCTGCTGATCGGCACGGCCAAACCCGCCCACCTCCTTCTCCTTCCTCTCCAACATCCTTCTGTCTCCTTTCCTGAGCCCTCCTTGAGCTCAGCCCCTTTCCCTGCTGGGCAGCCCCTCGGGACCCTTCCCGGCCCCCCTTGCCCCGTGTGACCCCTGCCCATCCTCTCCTGGGGACGGGGACACGTCCCTGCCCAGCTGTCCCCAGGGACAGACCATCCACGTGTGGCAGGAACCTCATCCCGAGCTGGGACTTCTTGGGAGTGAAATCCAACAGGACGAGCCCTGCTGGAGTGAAATCCAAGAGAATGAGCCCTGCTGGAGTGAAATCCAAGAGAATGAGCTCTCCTGGAATGAGATCCAACAGGATGAGCCCTGCTGGAGTGACATCCAAAAGGATGAGCCCTCCCGGAGTGAAATCCGGGAGGATGACCCCTCCTGCAGTGCCCAAATCGGTCACAGGATCCGAGGCAGCGGCCCCTGCATCCCCCGGAGCTGCTGCCCAGCCCAGGCTCTTCCCAAAGCTCTCTTTTCCTCTCTCGCAGAAATCCCGGCTCTTTTGCCGGGATGAAGCATCCCCCGCTTGCTCGGTGCCTCCGGCGGGGAGGAGGCAGGACACAGCCCCTGCCCCGTCCTACCGTCAGTTCCCGTCCCCGGGAGGCTCCCGCTCCCTGTGCCGCCCTGTCCCGGCCGGGATGGGGCCGGGGAAGCTCCCGGCGCTGCCTCCAGGCTTCTCCCGCTGTCCAGAGCAAAGTCCCGGCCCCGGGCAGCGGCTCCGGAGCGGCAGGGGTTAAGTCCGGGGGTGCCCTTCCCTGACCTGCCTTCGGAAGTAGCGGATGGCCGAGAGGGTGCCAAAGCTTGCCAGGAACACTGGAAAAGAGCCCAAGGCGTTCCCGCTGTGACCCCGGGAACCCCAACCGCCCGTGGGGGTCCCTCCTGTCCCTGCCCCGTCCCCTCCTGCCCTTGGCTGGCATTCCCACACCCGGGATGTGCTCCCAGAGCGTTCCCAGGTGCCCACGGCATGGCTGGCCACGTCCAGCCCTGGAGTCTGGGTGTGTGGAGGCACCAGCATTCCATAAAAAAACGCTGGTTTAGGGGGATGCTCAAGAGGTTCCCTCGGAGGTGGGCAGGATGCAGAGATCCACAGGAGATTTAATGGGTGGGGATGCCCATTAATGGGTGGGGTGGATGCCCAGATCCAGGTGGGGATTTTGTGGATTGGTTGGAATCACACTTTCAAGTGGAGACTTGATCTTGGATGAGAAAGACCCACGAGGAAAAGCCCACCAGGGCTTCAGGGCAGCACCTTCATTTCCTGCTTCTGTTTGTACCAGGAGGACGCCAGGAAAAATCCCATTTTGGGGATTTTCCGGGGATTTTCTAGCCCCAGCCAAAAGGAGAAAATATCCAAAACGCCAAATCAAAAAATTGAGGGACATAAGAAATAACAATGGGGGTGAAACACAAACCAAGCTCTGCTCTGTCCCTGCACCCAATGGTTTATAAGGGACATTAAGTTCCCTTGATTCCCAAGCAAAACTAGGAATCCAAGCTGTGGTTTTGGACTTTACACTTTAAATTCAGACTGGATTTTGATTTATGCACTAGAGGAATACAAACTCAGCTTGTCAGAACCCCAAATAACAGCTGCTCCTTCCTGCCTCCCTCCTCTCCAGGTTATTCCACCCTGGGGCACGAGGGTCTCCCCCTTCCCACACCTTTCCCGGGGCCACCTCCTCCATCCCAAACTGCCAGCAGGAGGGGGAGCAGGGCAAGAGCTGCTGGTGCTGGTGGCAGAGAGCAGCCTTAGCTCAGAGCTATTCCCAGCCGCGGTGTCAGCTTCCTGGTGACCTTAGCAGGGAACATTCCTCGCCTGGAAGAGCAGCAGGAAGCCTCGGCCCTGGCATTTCTTCCCAGGGAAGGGGCTCTGCAGGGAGGAATGCTGCTCTGGAAGGGTTCTCCAAGGGTTCCAGGGCAGGGATGGGGATGCTGCTCTCCCTGAGTCCTGCTCATCCAGTCATCCCCACTCCTGTGGGATTCTGTGAATTTCTTACAGAATTCAGTGAGAAGTTTCTGTGAATTCAATTTCTGTGAATTCAATTTCTGTGGATTCAATTTCTGTGAATTTCTGCTTGCTCAGCCTCCTCTCTCCCCACCAGCTTCCAGGTGCTGGGCTTGGAGAGGATCCCACAGCCCTCCAGGGAGCTGCAGGACTCAGTGCAGGAGGATGATGATCACTTTGGGGAGATTAAACCTTCCAAGCACCTCAGGAAAACATGGGAATTTTGGTGCTGGATGAAGGCTTAATCTCAATTTTGGCTGTGGACAAAAAATCCCAGTCAGGCTGGGCCTTGCTGTAAAGCCAATTTTGTTGGGAATTTTGTTCCTGCTGGGATGAGGGAACCTCAACCTGCTCACTGCAGGTCCTGAGGAAGTCCTGACAAACCGAGCCCTGTCAGGGGCTGGAAGCAGCAGGACCAAGGCTGTGGAGAGAGCTCAGCTCCAGCCAGCAGCTGCTTTGCAGGGAAAGCACAAAAAACATGAGCAGCAACCGGGACCAGAGGAGAGAGAAAGCACGGGAACGACTTTGGGAAAGGCTGCACTTCCCCAGAGGCAGCAGCAGGTATAAATATCCCGCTTTTCCTCCCTGCCAAGTGCCCCCCGAGCCCTTCCCAGCCCTCTGCAGGCGGGCACTGTACGTACTGGTCTTCCAGGCATCCGGAGCCTGCAGGTCAGATGTCTTCACGGCCCAGGAGGCGAAGGCACAGAACACCAGGCACATGTCCTTGTGGCTCAGCACCCGGGGCTCCTCTGCTGCTCCTGCCACGAGAGGAGCACGAGGTCTGGGGGCTCTGTGCCACCCCCCGTGCCACCCCTCCCCTCCCTCCGCGGCAGCAAATCCCCGGGGAATCGTCCCTCGGGGTGGTTTGGCACCAGGGGGGATGGCAGGTGGCTCTGTGTGTCCCCAAAGGACAGTGGCACATTTGTCACCCCGCTCAATCCCACATTTTGTTGAAAACCCCATGGAAATGTTTGTTAAAGGCACCCCAGGCTGCCTCACCCCTCCCTGCAGCTCTCTGTGGTGGCAGGAATTGGGTCTGGGGAGCAGATTTGGGACACAGCAATTCCTGGGGACACAGGCAAGGTCCCCTTCCTGTCACCAGTGTCCCCAGGCACAGCCAGCTCCAGGACAACATCTGAGAGTGCTCAGCATCCCTTCGGGCATCCCACCCCACTCCTGCCTCCTCCAGGGATGAAACACCCTGAGTGCTCTGCATTCCCTGATCCAGCCTGGAGCAGCTCGAGATCACCTTCTTTTTGCTCCTATTCATTTGATTTTAATTAAAGCTGGCTTACTAATTAGCTGTGACCACCTCAAAGGGGTTTTTTCTCCATGCAAACAGTCTGGAGGCTCCCTTTGGGATGGCTCCCTCAGTGTTTGGGTTTAGTATTAACCCTGAGCATCATTTAAGCTCAAAGACAAACGCCTGCCTGCCTGGTGGATCAAACCTCCCCTTCATTCCCATTTCTCCCACCTGCCCCCAGGAACAGGCAATGTTCAGGTGACCTCTGAGGTCTGCAGAGGGTGTTTTTCTGCTCAGGGTGGGTTTTACAGTCCCACATGCCCTGTCCATGCCGGGGAGCATGGCTTGGCACGGGGACAGAGAGAGGAACATCCCAAGGGGACAGAGGGATCATCCCAGGGGAGAGCCAGGGTGACACAGCCTGGACATGTCCCTACAGGGGACAGCAGCATTTACCTCTCAGTGCCAGGGCATCTTCTGGCCACGCCTGGGCTCCTCCCAGCGGGACCAGGGCGAGCTCCTCTCCGGATCTTCTGGGCACCAGGGCCTGGGAGGATGAGGCTTGGCCCCCTCCCAGCTGCCACTGCCTCTGCAGCAGGGACCTCAAAGCCCCCACGGCTTTCCTCACCTCGGAGGCAGGAGCCATGGAGAAAATCCCTCTCCAGCCCATCCTGTTGGGGGCTGGCTCTGGGAAGAAGTGTTCATACACATCAGGGACCGAGATAACCACGGTGTCCTTGTCTGGAGCAGAGCTGGGAGCCTCCTTGTGCAGCCCAGGGCGGTCCAAGCCTCTGAATTTCTTTCTTTTCCTGTCTTTAGCTTTGCCTTTTTTCCTGCTTCCTTCTGGCTCGGTGAAAAAATACTCGTAGAGTTCAGGCCAGGAGATTTCCCTCTGCAAGGGGGACCTGCGCCCCTCCAGGGAGCTGCCCAGCTCCTCCTCCTCCTGGGAATCACAGAACAGGTACTCGTACATCTCGGGCCAGGTCACATCCAGAGAGTTGGGCTTGCCAGGGGCTCCTTCAGCAAAGCACAGCGGGCTCACGGCCCTGGGCAGCTCAGCTGCAGCTTCCCAAGGGAGCCCAGCGCCAGGAATCGTGGGGATCCCAGCTGCAGGCTCGCACGGGATCTCGATGGCAGGGATCCTGGGGAGCTCAGCTGCAGGGATCCTGGGGATCTCGATGGCAGGACTCCTGGGGACCTCGATGGCAGGGATCCTGGGGAGCTCAGCTGCAGGGATCCTGGGGATCTCGATGGCAGGACTCCTGGGGACCTCGATGGCAGGGATCCTGGGGAGCTCAGCTGCAGGGATCCTGGGGATCTCGATGGCAGGACTCCTGGGGATCTCAGCTGTAGGACTCCTGGGGATCTCGACTGCAGGAATCCTGGGGATCTCAGCTGTAGGACTCCTGGGGATCCCCACTGCAGGCTCCCAAGGGATTTCAGGTACAGGTTTCCTGGGAATCGCAGCTGCAGGCTCCCAAGGGATCCCAGCTGCAGGAACCTCAGGGATCTCTGAGGGTTTCCTGGGAATCTCAGCAGCAGGAATTCCAGGGGTCTCAGCAGCAGGAACTCCAGGGGTCTCCGAGGGTTTCCTGGGAATCTCAGCAGCAGGAATTCCAGGGATCTGAGCAGCAGGAATTCCAGGGGTCTCAGCAGTAGAAATTCCAGGGGTCTCCAAGGGTTTCCTGGGAACCTCAGCAGCAGCAGCAGGCTGCCCCCCAGCCCCCTCGGCAGCATTCCCTCCAAACGCTGCCACGCTCCCGGGCTGGAGAGGCTTCCCTGGCATCTCCTGGCTCTCCTCTCCCGGGGGAGCCGCGGTGCCCTCGCCAGGGACCACGGGGACACTGTCACGTACGCCCAGGCCGCCGGCCTGCCCTGCCTTTGGGGGCTTGGTGGCCTTTGTCTTCCCCGGGGATTTTGGGGGAGCGCTCCCGGCATCGCCGCCGTCCACGCCCGGGCCGGGCACCCCCCGCTTGTTCTCCGCAGCCTCCTCGCTGCCCAGCCTCACCAGCGCTCCCTTGGCCGCCTTGTCCTTGCCCCTGCCCTTCCGAGGGGACACCGGGGAGCCGGGCGCTGCCTTGCCGGCCCCGGGGGCGCCCGGTGCCGCCGCGGGGTCCCTGTCGCCCTCGGTGCCGCCGGCTCCGCGCTGCTTGCGGCTCTTCCTGGGCTGTGCCGGCACCTTGGGCCTCACCACGCCGGGGGATCCGCCCGGCGAGCCCGGCTCCGCGCCCGCCTTCTCCTCCTCCGCTGCCACCCTGGCCGGGCTCGGGGTGTCCCCCGCGGGTCCCCGCGGCTCCGAGGGGACAGCGCTCTTCTCCGCCGAGGCAGAGGCTGCTGGAGCTTCTGGCGGTGCCAGCAGGGCTTGTCCCCCTCCTGCATCGCCGCCCTGCTCCGTGCCTCCGGCCGCTGCCACCGCCGCGTCCTGCCCGGGGCCACCCTGGGCCGTGCCACCGGGCGCGGTGGCCGCGGGTGGCCGCGGTGGCTGCCTCCTCTGGGCGCTGGGCATGGCAGCGGGTGCCGGGCGGCCGGGCTCGTCGCTGCCGCACAGGAACCTGCCCGCAGAGCCCTCTTCGTCCTCGCTGCCCGACAGCGGCTCCGGCCCGGCGAGGTGCCCACGCTCGGGGCAGGGCACGGCGGTGTCACCGGGCACCCCACGTGGCACAGGGCTGGCCGTGCCAGGCGCTGCTGGCTCGCTGCCCGCTGTCACCGCGCCGCCGCTGCGGGGACAGTCCCGTCCCGAGGTGTCCCCTTGCTCAATGTCACTGAGGCACTGCTCCTCGGCCGTGGCCAGCGAGGCCGGCGCCAGGCTGCACTCCTCGGAAGCCTGGAAGAACTCAGCCCATTCCCGGTCGTTCAGCTGGATGCTGTACTCGAAGTTATCCATGCCTGCAGCGGGGGAGCGGCGACAGGTCAGGGAGGGGGGGGTGGCACCGCTCAGGGAGGCCAGCTGCGTGCCCCCGAGCCTTCCTCCCGGTTCCTCCCTCCCGCCTGCTCATCCTCAGCCCTTTCCAGCCAGAACCCAGCTGGAAATTCCAGCCCCTGGCAACCGCAGCGGGACGGGGATGGCCGCGCTGGCCACAAGCCAGCCAGCAGCGAGAGGCCACTGTCACCCCCTCCTGTCCCCGCTGCCTCTGCTCCCCAGCACCGGGGCTTGGGGATGCTCCCAGAGCTGCACAGGGGCTTGGGAATGCTCCCCACACCTGCACCAGGGCTTGGGAATGCTCCCCAGAGCTGCACAGGGGGTTTGGGATGCTCCCCATGGCAGCTCAGAAGCTTTAGGATGCTCTCCAAGGCTGAACAGGGGCTTGGGAATGCTCCCCATGGCAGCACAGAAGGTTTGGGATGCTCTCCAAGGCTGAACAGGGGGTTTGGGATTCTCTCCCCACAGCATCACACCCCACACTCCCTTCCCCACCCATTCTGCCTCCAATCCACCTTAAAGCCGGGACTGCTGTTCCCGAAAGCAGCCCGGGCATCCCCGCACGGCCCCGCACGGCCCAGCACATCCCGGCACGGCCCCGCACGGTCCCGCCCTCGGCACAGCGGGACAGCAGGACACGCGGGGAGGTGACAAAGGCCGTCCTACCTGTCCCCCAGCCCCCGGCGGGGACGGAGCCATGCGAGCAGCCCGGCAGGAGAGCCCTCCCAGCACAACATGATGCCGCGGCCCGGCCGGGGGCAGAGAGCCCGGCTCCAGCTCCCATCCATTCAGGGGCTAAAAATAACCCCCCCCTCCCTCCCCGGTGTCACTTGAGATGCCAGTGCCACCAGCCCAGAGAGGGCAGCGCCATATATAGAACTGGTGGGGGACATGGCAGGGTGGCAGCCAATGTGTGACTGTGCCACAGCCGCGTCTGGGGGCACTGGGAGCACTCCTGGTGCCCCCTGCTCCCTCCTGGGGTCACTCCCTGGGGAAGGGGACAGGCCATGGAGCTCCCCTGGCACACCCGGGTGGCACTGACTGTCCTTTTTCCCACAGAGCCACTTCTCAGCCTTAGTCACGCTCTCCAGGGTGACACAGAGTCACCTCAGGGGCAGGGTTCACCTATTTAGGGCACTCCCAGGGCATCTGCTGCCAGCCTGCTCCAGGGTGACATCAGGAGGTGGCAGCCAGCTCTGGAGTCTTGTGACAAACCTCGCAGGGCGTGTGGCAGCCGTCCCACGGCGCCCAGGGCCACCTGGGCCCCTCGGGCACAGGGGCAGTGACAGAGCGCCCAAGGGTGGCCTGGCAGGTCACGTAAGCTGAGCCAGAAATAACCCTCAGCTCCCACGAGCCTTCCTCCCACCTTCCTCCCCCTCCTCCAGGAATAGCTGCCCTGAAGGAGCTGCCTGCTGGACAGGGGCTGGGGGAGTGAGCCCAGCCCCAGCCCCAGCCCCAGCCCAGCCCAGCCCAGCCCAGCCCAGCCCCAGCGCCCCCTCGGCCACCAGGACACCACAGCTGGACACAGCTGTGACCAGGGCTGGGCACACTGTGGGAGCCAAGAGACCCCTGGGCTCTGCATCCCCTCGGAGGTCCCACAACCTCTGCATCCCTTGGGGATCCCAAAACCTCTGCACCCCTTGGGGGTCCCACAACCTCTGCTCCCCTCGGGGGTCCCACAACCTCTGCTCCCCTCGGGGGTCCCACGGGCTCTGAACCCCTCAGGGATCCCACAAGTTTTGTACCCCTCAGGGGTCCCACAAGCTCTGCACCCCTCGGGGGTCCTCCCCAGGGCCAGGTGCCGGCCGTGCCCCCCTGCCCACCCCCGCGGCACAGCTCCGGGCTGTGTCCCCACGGGAGGGGACAGCAGGGTCCCCTGTCCTGCCCTGTCCTGTCCCGCGGGTCGGAAGCTCCCCGCGGTGGCCGCTGTCCCGCACTGCACCGGGAGGGATCCGGCAGAGCCAGGCCGGGGAACATTCCCGGGACACGCTCCGCTCCTCAGCCAGGACATCTGGAGGGGAAGCGCCGCTCCCGCCCCGCGCCCCGCTCCCCTCGCACGCCTCGCAGGGCTGAGGGGAAACCGAGCGCTTTCCTCCGCTTGGCTCGGCCGACTTCCTTCCCTTGGAGCCGGGCCCGAGGCACGGGAGGATTTAACCCGGCTGCGGAGCAGCAGGAGCCAGGGAGGGGCAGGGACGGCGGCCAGGGGAACGGGGATGATGGATGGGCTGGGATGGGCTGGGATGGTCTGGGATAGTCTGGGAGGCTGCTGGGATGGGCAGGGATGGTGCTGGGATGGGGCTGGGATGGTCTGGGATGGGGCTGGAATGGTCTGAGATGGGCTGGGATGGGGCTGGGATGGGCTGGGATGGTCTGGGATGGTGGGATGGGATGATCTGGGATGGTGGGATGGGGCTGGGATGATTCTGAGATGATTCTAGGATGATTCTGGGATGCTGGAATGGTGCTGGGATGGTGCTGGGATGCTGGGATGATCCTGGGATGATCCAGGGATGATTCTGGGATGCTGGGATGATTGTGGGATGATCCTGGGATGATTCTAGGATGATTCTGGGATAATGCTGGGGTGATTCTAGGATAATCCTCGGATGCTGGGATGGTGGGATGATCTGGATGATGCTGGGATGGTGCTGGGATGGTGGAATTGTACTGGGATGCTGGGATTGTGCTGGGATGATTCTGGGATGATCCTGGGTTGATTCTGGGATGATTCTAGGATGATTCTGGGATAATGCTCGGATGATTCTAGGATGATGCTGGGATGGTGGGATGATTCTGGCATGATTCTGGATGGTGCTGGGATGGTGGAATAGTACTGGGATGCTGGGATTGTGCTGGGATGATTCTGGGATGTTCCTGGGATGCTGCAGGACTGCTCCAGCCCCATCCTGTGGGTGGCACCCAGCACCTCCAGGATGGACGCTGTGGGATTAAGGACACGATATAAATAACCAATGTCAACCTGTCATGAGAGAAGGGGCCGAAATAAAGCAGCAAATGTGACCCCCCTGTGCCTGGAGGGACACAGCGTGGGACACACAGCCAGGAATGGGCTTGGAAAGGGCAGGGAAACTGGGAATGCCTTGGGGGGCACTTCCTTTGGGATGGAGACACCTCTGGGCTCAGCACTCACCACTCCCACTGTAAAGGAAGCTCAGTGTCTGTGAAATGAGCTCTCAGGAGTGGAATAATTGGAATATTCTCAATATGGAATAATTGGAATATTCTCAATATGGACTAATCGGAATATTCTCAATATGGAATAACTGGAATGTTCTTAATATGGAATAATTCCCTTCCAACCCAAGAAACTCCATCTGGGAGATTTTTACCTTTGTGCAGCTTTTCAAACCAGCAGTGGAACATCACGAGTGTGGGGGCTTGGCTGAACTCCCCGTGAGACAGCGCAGACAGTGCAGAGAGACGTGGGTTTGATTAGGAACATCCTCCCTGCCCTGATCTACACCCATCACACGCTGTGCAGCAGGGCAGGGAGGCAGAGACTGCAGGAAAAGCAGTGGGGGGAAAAATAAATAAAGCAGGATGGAAAAAGAAATCTGCCCACAGCTCAAGGAGCAAGACAACCTTGGCCCTTGCTGCTTGCCCGGGACAGAGAGGTTTATTTGGGATTATTTTCTCATTCCTCCTGCAGTTTTAGCTGGATGCTCCCTGAGCCTCAGGCAGTGACAGCAGTGACCTGACCCTGAGCTGAGCTTTCTTTTCCTTCCTTTCCATAAATTCCTGCGGGGTCCAACCTGTGGGAGGGACAGCTGAGGGGGATTGGGGAACACTGAGATGCAGTTGGGGAATGCTGAGCTGAAATTGGGGATTGGGGAACACTGAGCTGCAACTCGGGAATGCTGAACTGCTCACAGGGATTGGGGAACACTGAGCTGCAATTGGGGAACTCACTCTGAGCTGCAATTGGGGAATGCTGAACTGCTCACAGGGATTGGGGAACATGAGCTGCAATTGGGGAACGCTGAGCTGCTCAAGGGGACTGGGGAACACTGAGCTGCTCACGTACAGCCCCGACCCTGCCCACGGCCAGGAGACCTCCCTGGGAGCAGCATGAACCGGGATCCAGCCCAGGGAAGGCCGGGGAGGAGGAAAGGGTTAACCTCAGAAAGGGTTAACCCTGCACTGAAACTCCAACCGCAACCACCGGGCTGGTTCTGCTGGTTTGGGGCAGGTGAGCAGCAATTTTCACCCCCAAACCACCCCAGCGTTGCTTTTGGCCAAACCCTTTAACTTTTTTTGGTTTTGGGGTTTTTTTGGTTGGTTTTTTTTTGCCTGAAACTCACTCCCCGGGCTCTGTTAAAATTCCAGCCCATGCTGCAAAGGTCACCCTCGGCTCACTTGAAACGCAGCCCGAGCTGGCCTGAAGCTCTGCCAGGCTCTTCCCAAAGCTCGCTGCTGGCCGCAGTTTCGGGTTGCTGATCCAAGCCCCGCCGGGTTTCACATTTCCCGGCGAGCTGCGGCCCCGCTCTGCCAGGAGCAGCCGCGGCTGGGCCACTGTCCCCGGGGCACAGGGTGGCAGTGCCAGGGCAGGGTGGCAGCACCAAGGACAAGGTGGCAGGGGCAGGGTGGCAGTGCCAGGGATGGGGATGGCAGTGCAGTGACAGGGTGGCAGTGCAGGGGGCAGGGTGGCAGTGCCAGGGCTGTAGTGTCCCTGCCTTGGGGACAACAGTTGTAGGGCCAGGTGACCTCTGCCAAGTCCCAGCCACCTCCTTTTCTATGCTGTCACTGCCTACCCAGGCAGAGAAAGGCATTCTTTTTATTCCCTTTATTTTCTTTATTTGCTTTATTTGCTTTATTTTTTTAATTCTCTTTATTTTTTTAATTCTCTTTATTTTTCTGTATTTCCTTTATTCTCTTTATCATCTTTATTCTATTATATTATTAATCCATATTGTTATTCCATTATCATTCTATTTTTTTTTTTTTTTTTTTTTTTTTTAAGTCCTGAAAAGAGGTCTCTGGGCTGAAGTTCCAGCTCAAGGAATCCTTTCCCCCCCGAACCCGGCAGGATCGGGGTTTTACCAGTGCACTCTTTCCCTGCCGTTTCCACTAGATGTCACTTACAGCCACCAAGTCCACGAAAGTCCGGGATTTTGCACCTCCTCTCAGGCGGTTCAGACGCTGTGGGAGAGGAAAATCCCAGTTCCACAGGGCTGGGAGGGCAGGGGCTGTCACCAGTGTCACCCTGGCCACCCCTGGGAGTGATCCAGCATCCTCCTGGAGCCGTGGCAGCCTTGGGAATGTCACCATTCCCTGGGCAGTGCCCCGGCAGCCTCTGGGGGAAAACTCTGCCCAAAAATCCAACCTGACCTTCCCCTGGCACAGCCCCAGGGGAGCCTGGGCCCTTCTCCTGCTCTCCTGAGATGTCCCGGGACCACGAGCTGGGCTCCTGGGCCACCCCTTTGTGTCCTCCCCAAACCAGAGGGGCTGCTTTGGGACGGAGCAGAGGAGGGAAGGCACCGGTGGCCACCAGGGTCACCACGCTGGCCACCAGCAGCAAGGAACAAGACAAGAAAAGGAGAAGGAGCTGAGCCTTCTCCGGGAGGTCCAAGCTCCCCTTCCCTGCGGGCCTGCACAGGGAACGGTAGCAGGAGCAGCACCGCTCGCTGTCTGAGCGCTGATTAATGATGTTTGGGGTGGAAAGGGCCTCTGCTCCCAGCCAGCCCCAAGCACGAGCTGTTCCACACCGCAGGGCCCGGCAGAGCAAGGCCCCGAGCTCCTCAGCTCGGTGCTGCCCAACCCCTCCAGCAGTGCTGGTACATGGGGCACCGCGGCCCTGCGGC